CGCCCCTGCTTGCTCTCTCTGTCTCTGTCTCTCAAAAATAAGTAAACTTAAAAAAATTATATATTGGAGAGGCATATTAAAAGGACATTAGAGGTGCCTGGGTGGCTCAGTCAGTTAAGCGTCTGAATTTCGTAGTTCTTGAGTTTGAGCCTCACATCAGGCTCTCTGCTGTGGAAACAGTTCCCGCTTTGGATCCTCAGTCCCCTTCTCCCTCTGCCCCTTCCCAGCTCAGGCCCGTGCACTTTCTCTCAAAAATAAATAAATAAATAGATTGATAGATTGATTAGATAAGTAGATGGACAAATAGACATTAAAGGGATGCCTGACCTGGGGCGCCTAGGTGGCTCAATCAGGTAAGCATCTAACTCTTGATTTCAGCTCAGGTCATGCTCACGGTTCGTTGCGTTCAAGCCCTGCTAAATGCACAGAGCACAGAGCTTGCTTAAGATTCTCTCTCCCCTCCCCTCTCTCTCTGCTCCTCCCCATTCTCTCTCTCTTTCTCTCAAAATAAATAAATAAACTTTTTTAAAAAAAGGTGGAGGGGGGGCCCTGGATGGCTCAGTCAGTTAAGCATCTGACTCTTGATTTCAGCTTAGGTCATGATCTCATGGTTCAGGAGTTCAAGCCTCACATCGGGCTCTGTGCTGTTAGCATAGAGCCTGCTTGGGATTTTTTCTCTCCTTCCCTCTCTCTCTCTCTCTCTGTCTCTCTGCCCCTCCCTCACTCTCACACACACTCTCTCTCAAAAATAAATAAACTTTAAAAAAAAAACAAAGGACATTAAAAACCCTGAAATTAAAACATTATCTTATCCTCATAACTGCCTGATTCTAATCAACTGATCTCACCTGGATAGCCATGTATATATACATATATAAATTGTGTTTGGAAAAATGAGAAAACTTGGGAAGGGACGAATCAAAGAGAATAATCAATAAAAGATAAGTTAACATAAAAATACCATAATCCCAGGGGCACCTGGGTGGCTCAGTTGGTTAAACGTCAGACTCTTGGTTTCGGCTCTGGGTTATGATCTCGCAATTCATGAATTTGAGCCCCACATCAGGCTCTGTGCTGGTGGCACAGAGCCTGCTTGGAATATATTCTCTCTCTCTCTCTCTCTCTCTCTCTCTTTCCCTCTCTCTCTCTCTCTCTCTCAATAAACAAACTTTTTAAAAAATACCATAACTCCTGATGCATTGACAAGTAATTTTAAACCAAGGTTACCTGACATTCTGAAAAGTTGGCAGATTTTTTTAAATCTTAAATTAATCTAAGTAATAGCAATTCCTTTGATTTGTTGGTAAATATTATGATTTTGTATCTGGACAGAATGTAACATTCACTCTTCAAGTAACTTTTTCAATACTATTTTAGGGGTCTTCAAGTTCTACTTACCCCTGTTCTTGCAAACATCCTTGAGGCAGATCAGGAAAAGTGTTGGGGTTTTGACCAGTTTTTTGCAGAAACTAGTGATATACTTCATCGGATGATAATTCATGTTTTTTCACTGCAACAAATGACAGCTCATAAGATTTATATTCATAGCTACAATACGTAAGTACCTCTTTATACTTTCATCCTGTATCATAATGTTGTGTTTTGTTTTGTAATTATCTTCCTAAATTAGAAGAGGAAATGGAAAAGATGTCTCAGCTTCTCTAAAGGTACCTACCCACTTCTCACTTAGGAAATTATGTTTGAGCCTGGTTAGTACTTGGATGGGAAATTATGTTTGAGTGTTTACTAAATTCTTTTTTGCTTATTTTTGGAGTAAAAAGATCAATTTTCTACTTTTATAAAACATACAGGTAAATTAGCTTGTTCTTAAACTGCAACTTTTACAAGACTATTTTTGTTTCTATGCCTTCTCTCTTACATAATCACATAACCACAAATAACATCCACAAATCCATAAATGGGCTGGGTTTTATTAAGAGTATTATGGTCAGGGTCACCTGGCTGAGTCAGTAGACCATGCGACCCTGAGTTCAAGCCCCATGTTGGGCATAGAGCCGACTTACAAAAAAAAAAAAAAAAGAAAGAAAGAAAAAAATTTACGAGTACTATCCTATCATTTAAAAAACGTTAAAGCGTAAATCTTAAATATAGCTAGCGTAGTATTATTTGCATATGTGACATAAACCCCTTATTAGGTGCTGGAGAAGTAATCATTTGTTTTACCTAAACAAAAACACATTGTACCTATATTATAAAAAAAATCTACCTATGTGATAGAACTGCATTTAACTAAATACACTCACACTTACATGTAAAGCTAAGGAAATCTGAATATCATAGGTGGATTATATCAGTATCCATATCCTGGATAGGAAACACATACTATTTATATAGTATAATAATATATCATATGCAGGATGTTACCATTGGGGGACACTGGGTGAAGGGTATATGGTATCACTGTGTATGATTTCTTACAACTGCATGTCAGTCTACAGTGACCTCAAATGTTTTTTAAAATGAAGGGGGCACGGGGCGCCTGGGTGGCTCGGTTGGTTAAGCGTCCGACTTCGGCTCAGGTCATGATCTCACGGTCTGTGAGTTCGAGCCCCGCGTCGGGCTCTGTGCTGTCTGCTCAGAGCCTGGAGCCTGCTTCGGATTCTGTGTCTCCCTTTCTCTCTGCCCCTCCCCTGTTCATGCTCTGCCTCTCTCTGTCTCAAAAATAAATAAACGTTAAAAAAAAAAAAATTAAAATGAAGGGGGCAGCTCTTTCTGCCCTCGGGTCCTGTCCCTGTGCTATAATAAAAACACCTTTTGTACTGAAAAAAATAAAATAAAAATAAAGTGAAGGGTGAAAAAACATTGCACCCATTCTGTGTGCCTTAATGTCTGTTTTGACAAGAGTCAAATAGCAGTTCTGATATCTTATAAAACCTTTACTGGCAATTAATGTATTCAGGAATAAAATTAATTAGATAAAGTAATATTTTAAGTACTAATATGTAATATGTATAATATACTGTTAATATAAACATAAAAATACAATATAATGAATAAAATAATATTAATATAAAATCAGATTAAATGTGTATTATTCCTCTTTATTTTGTTATGTAATAGCGTGAATAAATCTGTGTCAGAGCTAGGTGTTGGCAACTATTTCATTTTAAGAACATATGTGAACATTAAAAAGCCCACCCAAGCCTGAGCCAGATCACAGCCTTTCCACTGAAATGTCTCTTTGATTGCATAGATCTGTTTAGGGAGAATCTACTTTTTCCCCTAAAACATCATTTTGAAAATACCTGGTTGTATTAATTCATTCAACAAATATTTATAGTCACATCACAGATACCACTGTGAGTTCTTTGTCATTTAATCCTCACAGCAGCTCTGTGAGGTGGGTACTATCGCTTGTGTTTTATAGATGAGGAAACAGCATAGAGGTGTTAAGTAACTTAAGGTATTTCAGTAAGTCAGTATAACTGGAATTTGAACCCACGTAGTCTGATCCAGAGTCCTTGCTCTAAAGTGCTGTGTTATGTTGGCTCCCCATTATTCAACATGAAGAATCCTGTATCTTATACATATTCAGTATAGGTGTTCAGACATAAAAGTATTCTAGAATGGATTACTGCATAGACAGGTCTGTGCAATTTTCAGTTTAATAGACATTACAGTATCCACATCAACAAGACAGTGTTTCTATAGACCTGCCGTGATCTGAAGTATCTCTTAGAAAGAAATGTTGTACCTCCCTCCCCCCCCCACACACAGATTTACTTCTTACTCCATCCCAGTAATGTCCCTTTGCATTTTTCTCACACAGTGCTACTGTATTTCATGAACTGGTATATAAACAAACCAAAATTATTTCTTCAAATCAAGAACTTATATATGAAGGACGACGTTTAGTTATAGAACCTGGAAGACTGGCACAGCATTTTCCTAAAACTACTGAGGAAAATCCCATCTTTGTAGTGAGTCGGGAACCTCTGAGTACCATAGGATTGATATATGAGAAAAGTAAGTTGGAATTTTTCTAGTGTTCTTCATAGCCATTAAAAAAAAAAATGACCTGTAAAAATGATTGGCATCTTCATAAAGTTGATTGATGAGGACAGTAAGGTAGAATTTTCATAAACTTAAAAATTTTGTAAATAAGTTGAATGAGACTAGTAATAAAATTGAAAAGCCTTGTAGGAACATAATTTGACCTTAAATATTTTGTGTCATAAAATGGTAGTTTGTCATGTATGTTTTACTGTAGCTCTCTGCTTTTAGTATTTTACTAACATTCAAAATAACCTTTTATATCACAAGTTTGAGCCAATATTTATTGTGTCCACTGTGAATAGGACACTTTGTCAGGCTTTGGAGTCTATGAAAAATTAGATCTACATTTTGGAATCTTAAATTATTAATTGTACTGGTGAAAAAAAAATTACCCAGATTTTTACTTTTCTGTTTGGATCTTTGGGATTTGATTTAGATTTAAAGAGAATCATTGAGCTTGTGTTGTATTGGAATATATCTAAGAAAAGAACTAAACTCCTTAGAAATATTTTGGGTAATTTCTTAGTTGTTAAGGAATGAGCATTTTTGCTTCAAGTGATTTTTTTTTTTTTTAACCAGGAAAAGAACATAAAAGAGTTTTGTTACTAATGTTTAATTTGGGGGTAATGTAGATGTTAATGTTTAATTTAGAGATTGCTATATAAAAGCTATAGTAATTTATTCAAAATACTTTATTTCTGATTTTAATTTTTTTACTTTATATTTCAGTTTCCCTTCCTAAAGTACATCCACGTTACGATTTAGATGGGGATGCTAGCATGGCTAAGGTTAGTGTTTAATTAAGTTACTATGTAAACATCTGAATTAAAATTATCTTATCAACAATGGAAGCAATAAAATGTATTATCTTTACATACGCCTATATGATTTAGGAAATTATTCATCTAAGTTGTCATCCATTGCAGGGGCGCCTGGGTGTCTCAGTAAGTTAAATGTCCGACTTAGGCTCAGGTCATGATCTCATAGTTTGTGAGTTTGAGCCCTGCGTCGGGGCTCTGTGCTGACAGCTCGGAGCCTGAGCCTGCTTCAATTCTGTGTTTCCCATTCTCTCTGCTTCTCCCTGGCTCGTGCTCTATCCCTGTCTGTCTCTCAAAAATATAATGTTCAAAAAAAAAAAAAAAATTGTTACCCAATGCAGATTATTTTGTTCTTTTTTGTTAATTTTTTTTTTAACATTTATTTAACTTTGAGAGACAGAGTGAGACAGAGCATGAGTGGGGGAGGAGCAAAGAGAGAGAGGCGGGGACCCAGAATCCAAAGCAGGCTCCAGGCTCTGAGCTGTTAGCACAGATCTCAATGCAGGGCTCAAGCCCACAGACCATGAGAGACCATGACCCAAGCCGAAGTCAGACGCTTAACTGACTGAGCACCTGGGCACCCCTCTTTCTTCCTTATATCTTTTGTTAAATTCCTAAGAAAATTTTCTCTATTGAGGCAGAACATGTTTAACATAATCATGTTAAGGCTGAAATATTTATTGTATCTGTCCTTAGCTTTTAGAAATTGGTAGTTTGTGTTTTTAAATTAACCTGATAAAAATATATAAGCTTGAAAATTTTTATGTAAAAGGTTTTCTTATCCTGTACCACAATTTGCACCAAATACTGACATTTGTGTTTCTTCATTAGGCAATAACAGGAGTTGTATGTTATGCTTGTAAAATTGCCAATACCTTGCTGCTTTATCAGGAATTAATGCGAAAGGGGATACGATGGTTGATGTAAGTAATAGACTGAAATTTGAAAATGAGTGGTAACCGCTCCATCATTGATACTTTACCTCTTCAGACTAAGAAGCATCAAGTGCTTGGGGTTTTTTATTGTTTGGTTTGGTTTGGTTTTTAAAGATTTTATCTTTCCTTTTTTAATTTTATTTTTTTGAGAGAAAGAGAGAGACAGAATGGGAGCAGGAGAGGGGGCAGAGGGAGAGAGAGAAAGGGAGAGAGAGAATCCCAACCTGGCTCCATGCTCTGTGCAGAGCCCAGCACAGGGCTCCATCCCACAAACTGTGAGACCATGACCTGAGGTGCAGTCAAGAGTCACATGCTCAACTGACTGAGCCACCCAGGCTCATTCCTAAAGATTTTATTTTTAAGTCATCTCTACACCCAGTGTAGGGCTCGAACTCACTACCGCAAGATCCAAAGTCACATGCTCCACCTACTGAGCCAGCCAGGCACCCCTTCTGTAATATTATAATACATTTGTTTCACATTTGGTGTACAAAACATTTAGCAACTATTTTTTTATTTGATTCCTGCAGCAGCTTGTGAGATACATAGGACAAATAGTATCTGAATTTTAAAACTTATGCCACACTGTACGTACAGGGTGATGGTAAATGAATTCTTTTTCCAAGGACTTGTCTCAGCTGTCATTTCACTCTCTTGGTGGGTGGGCTTTGGCATTGTTGTAATCCAAGATAGTCTGGACTTGTTCTAGAATTCTAGCCCCAGGCAACCTCTCATATGCTTTCTGTCTATATAGATTTGCCTATTCGAGACACTTCATATAAATGAAATTATACAGTGGAGTACACACTCACCTTGACAAGCAATAAGAGCTGTTGGTGTTTTTTGTTTTTGTTTTTTTTTTTAAGTAAATCATGTTAATATAGTTACTCTGGGTCAGAATATTGATTAATTAAGTATTATCTTTCCTGAAAGTGACCCTAAGAAATATTTTGTGGATGAATATGATTTGCCCCCCCTTTTTTTTTATTTTTATTTTTCATGATTTGTAGATGTTCTTTCCATCTGATAGAAGTGGAGAATAAATGGTCTCTCTTGAACATCATGCCTCTAGTTTCTGTACACCATCATTTAAGGCTTTTGAATTTTATACGCACACAGCAATGGCCTCGTGTTCCCTGGGATCATAATGCCCTTTGGCCTAGTGCTTGTGACAGTTTATATGTACCTCCCTCACGCCTATCCTTCCCTTCTTACGAAAGCTTGTCATCATTCTCATTCTGCTGGTGCTTTAAGAAGAAAAAAGAATGACACTTTTTTTGTTAAACTCATAAATTTATGGGGTTTTTTTTAGGTGTTCACATATCCAGCTTATAAGCCTATGCTTTTCTCTTTCCATTAAGAAGGCTTTTTGTTTTTACTAAATAATTTCTGGAAAAATCTGAGTGTTGACTCCATTTACTTTTGTGGTATTGTAACTAACAGCTCTCGTGTTCTCTTGTTCTTGTTATGTACCACAGTCACTGCTCCGTGAAGCTTTTATTCCTTTTACCTATTAACTTTTAGTTTAATAAGTCATGAGAAAATAGTTTTTTGTTTTGCTTTGGTTTTTGGTTTGGGGTTTTTTTTGAAAATGGGTTTTGTTTTTTTTTTTTAATTTTTTTATTTAAAAAATTTTTTTTAATGTTTATTTATTTTTTGAGAGAGAGTGAGTGTGAGCAGGGGCGGGGCAGAGAGAGAGAGGGAGACACAGAATCCGAAGCAGGTTCCAGGCTCTGAACTGTCAGCACAGAGCCCGATGTGGGGCTCAAACCTACAAGCTGTGAGATCATGCATGACCTGAGCCGAAGCCGGATGCTTAACCGACTGAGCCACCCAGGCACCCCGAAAATGGTTTTTAATGTAGACCACTGCTGGCAAGCTTTTTCAGTTAGTAATTTTTTTTCCTTTTTTTTTTTTTCACCAATAAAGGACTTTATTTGAAATCTGTATCTATTCCATGTTTCAAACACGACAGTTTTGTATTAGAAATACAGCTCTCTGCCGCTAACTATGGGGGATATTTGCCCGGCTAATTAACCAAAATTAAAAGGATCCAAAGAGACAGAGAGTGACCAAAGAAAGCCTCTGATGGTCTATGAACTTGAGCTCCTGTCTCTCATACTCCTTTGTTGTTAATTTTTTTTAAATCAAAATATATTTTTTTAGGAATAGAATTTAGTGATTAATCACTTAATAACACCTAGTGCTCATCCCAGAGTCCTCCTTAATGCCCAGTACCCCCTCAGCACTTCCTCCCACCCAACACCCCACCACCAACCTTCAACTTGTTCTCTGTATTTAGGAGTCTCTTATGGTTTATCTTCCTCTCTGTTTTTACGTTATTTTTGCTTCCCTTCCCTTATGTTCATCTGTTTTGTATCTTAAAGTCCTCATATGAGTGAAATCATAAGATATTTATCTTTCTCTGACTTATTTTGCTTAGCATAATACACTCTAGTTCCATCCACATTGTTGCAAATGACAAGATTTCATTCTTTTGGTTGCCGAGTAGTACTCCGTTGTATGTATATATACCATATCTCTTTTATCCATTCATCTATTGATGGACATTTGGGCTCTTTCTGTACCGTAGTGCAATTGCTGGGTAAAAGGGTAGTTCTATTTTTAATTGTTTGAGGAACCTCCATACTGTTTTCCGGAGTGGCTGCACCAGTTTGTGTTCCCACCAACAGTGCAAAAGAGATCATCTTTCTATGCATCCTCACCAATATTCGTGTTGCCTGAGTCGTTAATTTTAGCCATTCTGACAGGCGTGAGGTGGTATCTCATTGTGGTTTTGATTTGTATTTCCCTGATGATGAGTGATGTTGAGCATTTTTTCATGTGTCGGACATCTGGATGTCTTCTTTGGAAAAGTGTCTATTCATGTCTTTGGCCCATTTCTTCACTGGATTATTTGTTTTTTGGGTGTTGAGTTTGATAAGTTCTTTATAGATTTTGGATACTAACCCTTTATCTGATATGTCATTTGCAAATATCTTCTCCCATTCCGTCAGTTGCCTTTTAGTTTTGCTGATTGTTTGTGCAGAAGCGTCTTACCTTGATGAGGTCCCAGTAGTTCATTTTCACTTTTGTTTCCCTTGCCTCTGGGTGACATGTCAAGTAAGAAGTTGCTGTGGTTGAGGTCAAAGAGGTTGTTGCCTGTTTTGTCCTCTAGGATTTTGATGGTTTCCTGCCTTACATTGAGGTCGTTCATCCATTTTGAGGTTATTTTTGTGTATGGTGTAAGAAAGTGATCCAGGTTCATTCTTCTGCATGTCGCTGCCCAGTTTTCCCAGCACCATTTGCTGAAGAGACTTTTTTCCACTGGATATCCTTTCCTGCTTTGTCAAAGATTAGCTGGCCATACGTTTGTGGGTCTATTTCTGGGTTCTCTATTCTGTTGCATTGATCTATGTGTCTGCTTTTGTGCCAGTACCATACTGTCTTGATGATTATAGCTTGGAGTCCAGAACTGTGATGCCTCCAGCTTTGATTTTCTTTTTCAGGATTGCTTTGGCTATACGGGCTCTTTTCTGGTTCCATACAAATTTTAGGATTGTTTGTTCCAGGTCTGTGAAGAATGCTTGGTGGTATTTTGATAGGGATTGCCAGTTAGTAAATATTTTAGACTTTGTGGGCCATATAAGGTCTCTTATTTATTTACTTATTTTTTTTTTACAGCCTTTAAAAATATAAGTATCATTCTTAGCAAAAGCAAACATCAGGCCTTAGTTTGTTGACCCTTAATGTAGACCAAAAGCCCTCCAGTTTTATTATTAATTATGTCATCTTCCTCCTTCATAGATCATAATTTATGAGCAATAAAAATTAATTCTGGTGGTATAAAGCATAACACATATGGCTTATTTGTATGATTGTAGTTTAGTTTACACTCTTTAATATAATTTTAATGCCTTAGATTTCTAAACTGTTAATCCAATAAGTAGTAACTAATGGCCCGTGCCCTAGATATGTATAAGGGTCACAGAGATGCTTTCAGTAATAAAAAGTGAATTGGCGAGACTCAGGCCAAGGGGGACAAAAATGAATTGGCTTTCATAATATAAGACTGTTAATAAACTTGTCTGAAGAGTAGTAACAGCAGTGTAATTAGTGATGGACAAGAGGAAACAAATCATTCCTTAGGTAAACTAATGAGGGTATTATTATTTTTTAGAGAATTAGTTAAAGATGATTATAATGAAACTGTTCACAAAAAGACAGAAGTTGTGATCACACTGGATTTCTGCATCAGAAACATTGAAAAAACTGTGAAAGTGTAAGTAGATTACTTCCTTACTAATAGTGGTGAAAATGTTAAACATTCACTTATGTCGTTATCCTCGGCGTAGTAGAACATGCTGTGCAAGTGTTTGAGTCGAGACACCACTTTCGATTGAGTTACTTCCTCACAAAGCCAAAATTTAGTTGTCTCAGTACGAAGTGAACATTTGGCGGCATTTCTCCTTCCCCTTACAAAGGAAGAGGTAATATGACAGAAACGTCTCAGTTTTTAATTTTGCAAAGCAGACACTCTGAATAGGAAAATATAGAACCTAGAGTCAACAAAGGAAGCGGGAAGAGGTATTCTAGAACTGTATTTTAGTAGTCGTAGAATTTGGGGATTACTTTTAGTTTACTCTTACTTATTAATCTTATCCCTGAGACTGTTTTGAAACAGTATTTTAGACTTCTCTCTTTCTAGGCTGTATTATTTGTACTGCAGAAGAAATACAATAATTGAATTCAGTATGACCTCCAATCTGTAATCTAGTAGTTTGACCATTATCATGGCGTAAAACTGTTGGAAATTAAGTTGTCTTTTATATTTTGTATAAAAATTTATAAGTAGGAGTATATAAAATTCCTTCTTATAGAGACATCAAGTTTTCTTGGAATCTGTTGCTTGTAGGCTTTGCATTCAATATTTTATTCTTAAATAGTTACGATAATAAAAACTCAGGTATAATTTATAAAACATCTTTTAAAATCTTTATATTCAAAAATCTGTATATTCATTATGCTCATTGAATTTTTCCATGCTTGTTTTCATACAGATACGAAAAGTTGATGAAGATCAACCTAGAAGCAGCAGAGTTAGGTGAAATTTCAGACATACACACCAAATTGTTGAGAGTGAGTATTTACACAATTATGACAGTTATTGGCTCATAACCTGTTCCTTTGCTAGTCAGATTAGATCTCAGCTTTCCTAGAAAGATGATATACCTAAAGGATTTCCAGAGAAGGAGTAGCCTTTTCCCATCTTTAGGAACTACTTACAATATTTAAATTCCCTTACTGACATGAAGTTCTTCATGATGTTTCCAAGTGTCTGCTTTGCTTTAAGTCCTTTTCTCTCTAAAGTCTCTCTCCAGTCTCCCTTTAAAATCCATAATGCTCAGGGCGCCTGGGTGGCTTAAGTCGTTAAGCGTCTAGCTCTTGATTTCAGCTCAGCTCATGATCTTGTTCATGAGTTCACCCTGACAGTGTGGAGCCTGCTTGGGATTCTCTCTCCCTCTCTCTCTCTCTCTTCCCTTCCCCAGCTCACTTGATCGCGTGCTCTCTCTGTCTCAAATAAATAAACATTATTCATAAAAAGTGGGGGCAGGGCACCTGGGTGGCTCAGTCAGTTGAGCAGCCTGCCTTGGCTCGGGTCATGATCTCATGGCATTCTGATTATTGTTTCTGTATTTTGCTGATCTGCATCTGAACCCACTGGTTTTATTTAGCTTTCCAGTTCTCAGGGAACGATAGAAACCAGTCTTCAGGATATCGAAAGCAGATTATCTCCAGGTGGATTGTTGGCAGACATGTGGGCCCATCAAGAAGGCACTCATCCAAAAGATAGACAGTAGGTTATATAACTTTATTGGTAGTTTCTGCTCTTATTCTTAAATGTCCTTTTTCACATTGACTTATATAATTTACTTGGATTTTTTTTCTTATATAGTGTAGAAAAGCTACAAGTCCTGCTAAATTGCATCACAGAGATTTACTATCAGTTCAAAAAAGACAAAGCAGAACGTAGTGAGTAAAATTTGCCATTTGTTAATCTAATGAATCAATTCTACTAGTTGTAATTCAATTGAATTCATTTGGTATATTTCTGAGGGTGGTTCCTTAAGTTATTTATTTCAGAGACTTGATTCTGTTGGGAAAGAGGTTGAATATACTAAAAATTATTCCTAAAAACAATCTTTTGAAAATTTTAAATCAGGGGTCCTGAACTCCAAAATCTCTAGAGGCCAGTCATAGAAAAGAAAATGATTGGCCACTGGAGACAGGAGGACAGGAGAGGAAGTACCCCGTCTAAAGAGGAGAGCCACTACTCAGATTCACCAGATTCATTGCCCAATCTTCCTGTTCTCAAGGGAAGCTGGAAGTACAGATCTTATTAAAAACCCTGGGGACACCTGGCTGGCTCAGTTGGTGGAGTGTGTGACTCTCGATCTTGGGGTCATGGGTTTAAGCCCCACGTCGGGTATAGAGATCACATAAATAAATAAATCTTTTTTTTTTTAAAGGAAAAAAATGTCCTGATTTTAAATGTTGGCAGTTAATTTTTTCTTTCTTTTTTTTGATGTTGACACTGTATAGATCAAATGAAAGCATTGGGCTACATACCTAAGCCATGAGTCATGAGTTTGTGACATCTACTCTAAACTCTGCCTTTTTGGGGTGCCTGGCTGGCTTAGTCGGTGGAATGTACAACTCTTGATCTTGCAGTTGTGAGTCCCACATTGGGTGTAGAGATTACTTAAAGATAAAATCTTAAAAAGAAAACCCTCTTACCCTTTTTGAAGTCATAATTTCAAAAGATAAAAACTTTTGCATGACTCTGTGATTCTACATTTACAGAAGCAATATTTCTTATTTGTAGGACTAGCTTATAATGAAGAACAGATCCACAAATTTGATAAGTAAGTGTCCATATTATGTTTAACAATTGTTTTCAGGGTTATGTTATTAATATAATTCCTCTTAAAATTGAAATTAATTACAATGAAAAATACATTTTCATCTTAGCTTTACAGAATTGTTACTGTGTATGTACATATTTGAGGTCCATGTGTCTGGTCCCTGATAGAGAGGCTGAAGAGAAGGGAGAATAAGGAGGTGGTCTTCTGCTTCACGTGCTCTGATTGCAGAAGGACAAATAAGGAAGAACATAGACAAGGCCAGGCTTAACCACTTTCTTACCTTGACTTCATTGAATAAGTATTTGTGACCATTCTCCTTTATGAACCTTCTCTTTTGCTTCCTGCTGCTATAATGTCGATTTTAGAAACCTTTGGCTTTCTACTACAAATATTCTAAAGCCATAACAGTCATTATTAAGAAACATAAGTTTTATATGTTTCAAAAGTTTTTAATATTGGAAGTAGAAATCGTGACATTGGTTTAAACCTACGATTATTTCTAAATTATAGGCAAAAACTGTATTACCATGCAACAAAAGCTATGACCCATTTTACAGACGAATGTGTTAAAAAATACGAGGCATTTTTGGATAAGTCAGAAGAATGGATGAGGTAAGTAAGCTTTGTGGTTGACTGCACAATGTACAATTCAGTGAATGTTGTATTTTTTAAGTAACATTGATATTAGACTGCTTATTGATTCTTTTTGGTTTTCAGAAAGATGCTTCATCTTAGGAAACAGTTATTATCACTAACTAATCAGTGTTTTGATATTGAAGAAGAAGTGTCGAAGTATCAAGATTATACAAATGAGGTATGACTATGAAAAGTATCTAGAAAACATCTTTTTCCTACTAGGAAAAAAAATGTATTTCTTCTCAGTTTGAAATGATTGAAAAGGGAGAAATAGGACATAAACTGCCTTGTATTCAGTTCTGTTTACTCATTTGTAATATGTGTTTTGAGCCAAGTTTTCAGAACTTAGATGTCTTACAATTAAAAGCATATGATAAAATATTAAAAAAAAATTTTTTTACATTTATTTATTTTTGAGAGACAAAGAGAGACAGAGCAGTAGTCGGGGAGGGATAGAGAGAGAGGGAGATACAGAATCCGAAGCTGTCAGCACAGAGCCTGATGCGGGGCTCGAACTCACAAACTGTGAGATCATGACCTGAGCCGAAGTCAGACAGTTAACTGACTGAGCCACCCAGGCGCCCCTAAAAGCCTATGATAAAATATTTTTTAAAAAATTTTAAAGCATATGTTAGAACATTCTTTTATCTATAAGAAAAGTTTTCTTTAGGGGCTCCTGGGTGGCTCAGCTGGTTAAGTATCAGACTTAGGCTCAGGTCGTGGTCTCACAGTTGGTGAGTTCGAGCCCCATATCTGGCTCTGTGCTGACAGCTCACAGCCTGGAGCCTGCTTCGGATTCTGTGTCTCCCTCTCTGTCTGCCCCTCCCCCACTTGCACTCTGTCTCCCTCTCTCTCCAAAATAAATAAAACATTAAAAAAAATTTTTTTCAAAAGAAAAGAGAAGATTTTCTTAGAGTATTCACTTAAGTACTGTATCATTCATGGTTTTGAAATTAAAATTTAAAAGCTATAAAGGGCTTAATAAACCTGGAACATTTGATGTAAGATCTGTAGTTTGTACTTCGTTCAGTGATTGATGTGAATTTTTTTCGATGTTTTAGTTACAAGAAACTTTGCCTCAAAAAATGTTTGCAGCCTCCAGTGGAATCAAACATACCATGACCCCAATTTATCCATGTTCTAATACATTAGTGGAAATGACTCTTGGGTAAGAAATTTATTATTTGGTAACTATTATGTTTCTGTTCATTTTTATTTCAGTTTGTGATCTTGCTCTTTTATTTTGAAATTTTTGGTATTTGTGGTGACTATACTTGCTAATGTATTTAATGGCTTACTTCAATCAAGAGAACTAAAACATGGTGTAATTCTAAAACATTTGCATACTCTTTTGAGCAGAGACATTCTTATTTTGTTTGTATAGTATGAAGAAATTAAAGGAAGAGATGGAAGGAGTGGTTAAAGAACTTGCTGAAAATAATCATATTTTAGAAAGGTGAGTAATGGAAATGCCATTCTGCTCTGTGATTTTCTTTTTTTTTTTAATGTTTTTGTGTTTGTTTATTTTTGAGAGAGAGAGAGAGAGAACATGAGCAGGGGAGGGGCAGAGAGAGAGGGAACACAGAATCAGAAGCAGGCTCCAGGCTCCTAGCTGTCAGCACACAGCCGGGCGCGGGGCTCGAACTCATAAACCGAGATTATGACCTGAACCGAAGTCGGACACTCAACCGCCTGAGCCACCCAGGTGCTCCTCTGCCCTGTGGTTTTCTGTGCACTAGAGCACATATAGATCTAAACTTATACCTGTCTGTCTGTAGTAGTAGGTTAAGTAGTGGGAAAAGGATAGATATCAAGTCAAGAACCCTTATGTTTTGCGATTTCCGTGGTGCCCTACATGTAATGTGCTTGAGGTTGGTTGGATAAAGACAAGTCAACTGTGATTGATTCCATTTCATAGAAGCACTGGTTAATAGAATTATTTGCTTATTTGAGTCAGTTTGTGAAAATGAAAATCTTTTGCACATTATTTTTCATACATTTTCTCATTAGAATCATAAGTTTAAATTTTGGAATCAGAATGGCTTATAAGAGGCACCTGCCTGGCTGGCTTAGAGCATGTGACTCTTGATCTCAGGGTTGTAAGTTTGAGCCTGACACCGGGTGAAGAGATTACTTAAAAACAACATCTTTCAAAAGGAACAAAGAGTGGCTCATAAGATGCTGGTGCTCTGGTGCTCTGTAACTTACAAGCCCTCTGCAAACCTCTGTGCGGGTGAGCGCCCTCTGTAAATGCAGTTCCTTGAGAGCTGGGTATCAGCTTTTCCTACATATCCTCATAGATCAGGGAGGGGCACCTGGCTGGCTCAGGCAGAAGAGCATGTGACTCTTGATCTTGAGGTCGTAAGTTTGAGTCCCACATTGGGTGTAGAGATTACTTAAATAAAACTTAAAAAAAAAAAAAAAATCCTCATAGATCAGGGAGAGAGAGAATTGGAAAACACCCAGAGCCAGTAAACCCACTTTTGAATGCTATTTCCTCGTCCCAGTTCCTCAGGGAAGTTAAGGAATATTTGGCTTTCTAGTAAGAACCCTTCTCTTTGAAGCCCTTACGTGCTTATCGATATGTTCTCTAATTCCCAGCATACTAATAAAAGTACTTCACACTTGTGTGACGTTTTATATGCTTGCAGGGCACTTTCACACTGTGTAAGCTTGCTCAGCATGCATTCCAGCCTCGTACAGTAGCTAAGCAGACAGTCTCTATCCATGTTTCACAGGTACTGAAGTTCACACCCTAAGAGGTGAGCTGGAGCTGGAATCTAGCCTCCTACTTCCTCATACAGTCTTATCCCCCCGGAACTATTCTCGCAAATAAAAGAACCAAAGAAAGTTTCCTGTAGTTTGAAAAGATTGTCAGAAAGTCACATGATTTTTTAGCTATGTGCAGAAAGTTATTTGACATTTCTTCTCTTTTTTTTTTTTTTAATTTTTTATTTTAGAGTACACGTAGGGGGAGAGAAGAGAGAGAAAGAGAGAGAAAATCTTAAGCAGCTCCACACTCAGCCCAGAGCCCAATGCAGGGCTTGATCCCATGACCCTGGGATCACAGCCTGAGCCGAAATCAGGATCTGGACGCTCAACTTTGAGCCACCCAGATGCTCTGACACTTGTTTTTTTTAAGATTTTTTTTTTTTTTTTGAGTAATCTCTACACACTATGTGGGGTTTAAACACAAAACCCCAATAAGTTAAGCACGTGCTTCACTCCACTGAGCTACGCCAGGTGGCCCATCTTAATTTCTTGCAGTGTTATCAATTTTTTTTATACATATATATATATTTATTTTATTTTTTTGAGTAATTTAACTTTATTTTTTATTTTTTAATTTACATCCAAATTAGTATATAGTGAAGCAAATACTTATAAATTTCTAATGCCCCTACCCATTTAGCCGCCCATCATCCTCCCTCCCACAACCCTTCCAGCAGCCCTCAGTTTGTTCTCCATATTTTTTTTTTCTTAATTTATTTATTTTTTTTCAACGTTTATTTATTTTCTTGGGATGAGAGAGAGACAGAGCATGAACGGGGAGGGGTGCATAGAGAGAGAGGGAGACACACAGAATCGAACAGGCCCCATCTCGGTGCCATCATCAGCCCAGAGCTCCCGACTGCTCACCGACCATGAGATCGTGACCTGGCTGAAGTCGGACGCGAACTTCCATCACCGCGCTTCACCCAGGCTTCCTGTTCTCCATATTTATGAGTCTCTTCATTTTGTCCCCCTCCGTTTTATTATATTATTTTTGTTTTCCTTCCCTTATGTTCATCTGTTTTGTCTCTTAAAGTCCTCATATGAGTGAAGTCATATGATTTTTGTCTTTCTCTGACTGACTAATTTCACTTAGCTATCAATTTCTTCTCAATGAATTAGTTTTTAGAGTACATTCTATAAAGATTTCCTACAATATATGATTGTAAAAATTTGGAAATGAAAGGCTCTACCTGCCTTTTCTCATGATCCCCTTCCACCCCTGCAGAAGTAATTACTATTAACAGTTTGTTGTGCATGTACGTTTTATGTGAATGGGATCATTCTGTTCATACTGGTTTAGTCTTTTTTCATCTAAGACTATATCACCGGTACTTTTTCATGTCCATATATATAGCTCTATTTTTTTCTCATTTTCTTTCTTTCTTTCTTTCTTTCTTTCTTTCTTTCTTTCTTTCTTTCTTTTCTTTTCTTTTCTTTCTTTCTTTCTTTCTTAGAGAGCGAGGGAGAGCAAGCAGAGGGGGGACAGAGGGAGAGAGAATCTTAAGCGGGCTCCATGCTCAGCACAGGGCCTGATGTGGGGCTCAGTCCCACAACCCTGAGATCATGACCTGAGCCAAAATCAAGAGTCAGATGCTTAACCAACTGAGCCATCCAGGCACCCCATTTAAAGATTTTATTTTTAAGTAATCTCTACACCCAATGTAGGGCTCAAACTCAAAACCCCAAGATCAAGAGTTGCATGCTCTGAGCTAGTCAGGCGCTTCTTTTTTCTCATTTTCAGCAGCTGCCTAATAGACTAGTGTATGGCTCTGCCGTATCTATTTGGCTGTCCTATTTGTTGGGCATTTAAGTTGTGTTAATTTTTCATAATTATAAACCATGCTTCAGTGAACTTATTTGTATGTATACCTTCATGTACTTGTGTAAGAATATTTGAGAGATTGGAGTGCCTCAGTCACTTGAACGTCTGACTCTTGGTTTCGGCTTGGGTCATGATCTTGCAGTTTGTGGGTTCAAGCCCCACATCAGACTCTGTGCTGACGGTGAGGAGCCTGCTTGGGATTCTCTTTCTCCCTCTCTCTGACCCTCCCCTGCTTGCTCACTCTCTCAAAATAGATAAATTTTGGTAAAAAAAATTGTTTAGGGGCACCTGGGTGGCTCAGTCGGTTGAGCGTCTGACGTTGGCTCAACTCATGATCTCGCAGTTTGTGGATTCAAGCCCCTCCTCGGGCTCTGTGCTGACAGTGTGGAGCCTGCTTCACAGCTGTCTCCCTCTCTCTCTGCTTCTCCCCTGCTCACATTCTCTCTCTCAAAAACAAATATTAAAAAAAATTGTTTGGGGTACCTGGGTGGCCCAGTTAATGAAGTGTCCAACTCTTGGTTTCAGCTCAGATCACGATCTCACGGTTCGTGGGTTCTGCACTGATGGTGCGGAACCTGCTTGGGATTCTCTGTCTGTCTCTCTCTCTCTCTGCCCCTTCCCCATTCACACTCTCTCTGTCTCTCCCAAAATAAATAAATAAAGTTTAAAAAGTAAATAAATAAAAATTGTTTAAATAGGGGTGCCTAGGCGGCTCAGTCAGTTGAGCATCAGACTTCGGCTCAGGCCATGGTCTCGCAGTTCACAAGTTTGAGCCCCACATCAGGCTCTGTGCTGACAGCTCAGAGCCTGGAGCCTGCTTCAGATTCTGTGTCTCCCTCTCTCTCTGCCCCTCTCCAGCTTGCACTCTGTCTGTCTCTCTCTCAAATAAATAAAAACATTAAAAAAATTTTATTTTTAGTTTAAGTAAAATAAAAAAAGAATATTTGAGGGATCAATTTCTAGATGTTTCTAGATGTGGAATTGCTGGGTCAGAGGGCATCACACTTAAATTTTTATAAGTATTAATTTTTTCTTTTTTCTTTATTTTTTTATTATTTTGAGAGAGAGAGAATGCATGTGGGAGAGAGGGAGAGAGAGGAACCCAGGCATGCTCCGCACTGTCAGAGCTGAGCCTGACATGGGGCTCGAACTCGGGAAACTGAGATCATGACTTGAACCGAAATCAAGAGTTGGACGTTCAACCAACCGAGCCACCCAGGCACCCCAATTTTTTCTTTTCTTTTCTTTTCTTTTTTTAATTTTTTTTTAACGTTTATTTATTTTTGAGAGAGAGAGAGACAGAGCATGAATGGGGGAGGGTCAGAGAGAGGGAGACACAGAATCTGAAACAGGCTCGAGGCTCTGAGCTGTCAGCACAGAGCCCGACGTGGGGCTCAAACTCACGGACCGTGAGATCATGACCTGAGCCGAAGTCGGACGCTTAACCGACTGAGCCACCCAGGCGCCCCACTTTTTTTTTTTTTTTTAAGGTTATATATTAGAGAGAGAGAGAGCATGTGGGGTAGGGGCAGATAGGATCCCAAGCAGGCTCCATGCCAGCAGCACTGAGCCTGACTCAGGGCTCAAACTCATGAACCGTGAGATCATGACCTGAGCCCAAACAAGAGTTGGACGCTTAACCAACTGAGCCACCCAGGCGCCCCTGTTTATTCAAATTTATATGTGTGTGTGTGAATTGCCTGTTGGTTTTAAAATCTTTTTTGTATTAGTTTATAGCAATTACATAGTAATTTTTTTTTTTTTTTAGTGCCCAATTTAGTTTCTTTACAACCTTAGCTAAATATCAGCAAGGAGAAGAGACTATTAAGTAATGCTTTTAACAAGCTTTTTTTTATACTCACTTTCTTATGTCGTATGACATAGAATCCCCACTGCCCAAAGCAAGTCCCATAAGTCACTTTCCCGTTTTACTTGCAAGTTTATGTAACAATATGGGTGATATGACATGGTGTAATCGTAACTTAAATGTTAAAGGACTATGTACGGATTAGTGCCAGAACTAATAATGGAATCCGGGTCTTGAGCACTGTCTCCACATGGGTATCTCCTTATTTTTTTCTTTCATATCTAAAAATCACATAATACCACCCTTCCCAGCTCAGTTTCCCCTCCTATTTCCTCATTCTATTCAAAGGAACCACCTTTCCTTCTGCTTCTGTGAACATACGTCATTTTAGACACTGTTTTTTATTGCCTTTCGTTAGTTTGGTGATCTTCCTTCAGAATGTTTCCATTTTCCCCCTCTCAGCCTCATCAGACCCCCTTTCCTCCTCACATGTGAGCTGTGGTGATAACATATTATCTATCTTCCTAAGCCCAGGCCTTTCCCATCTGTCATGGGCTAGTACAGCCAAAGGTCTAATCATGCCATGCCACTCCTTTGGCCCAACAATTTCTAAACTCTTCTTACCTAAAAGGTCAAATCTAAATTCATACTTGAAATCCCAGGATATAATCCTCTGGCCAGCCTATTCACTCACCTTCATTTCCCACTAGTCCCCAAAATAACATTCCATTGTAGCAAGGTCGCTTTACTTAACTTTACATAATTTACTCTCCGTTAAGTATGTCTCACCTACTCCCAACTCCTTATCTTCGCTTTTCTAAATCCCACCCCACCAAAAGGAAGTTGTCCAATTGTTTCTAAATCTTTCTAGATCACATCACTCAGCCTTTTCTCCTAAGAAGTCTCCCAAGCCACTAATTGGTATTTTTTTCACATATTTATAATAATACCACCGTGTTTCAGTAAAAATTGGGGACATCATAGCTGCTTGAACTTTTTTTTTTTTTAATTTTTTTTTTTAACGTTTTACTTATTTTTCAGACAGGGAGAGACAGAGCATGAACAGGGGAGGGTCAGAGAGAGGGAGACACAGAATCTGAAACAGGCTCCATCCAGGCTCTGAGCTGTCAGCACAGAGCCCGACGCGGGGCTCGAACTCACGGACCGTTGAGATCATGACCTGAGCCGAAGTTGGCTGCTTAACCGACTGAGCCACCCAGGCACCCCAGTTGCTTAAACTCTTAAATAACAGTTTATTCATCTGAAAAGTACCCTATATACTCTTTAAAATGTTGCAGGCCAAATAAATGAATCTTCTGAGATTTCCTGTTTTCTTTTGTGTTTTAGGTTTGGCTCTTTAACCATGGATGGCGGCCTTCGCAATGTTGACTGTCTTTAGCTTTCTGGGAAGTTCGAGAACAGTTTTAGTTTGCACAAGAAAATAATGCTGAGACATTCATTAAATGAGTGCCTCTCTAAGTGGTCTCTTATTTCTACAATTCAGTATTTGATGTGGTCATGTAAATATGTACAATATTGTAAATACACAAGAAAATATATAAATTTTTGGCTGCTGTTAAGATGTAATTTTACCTTTTAACATTTATAATTATATGAGGACATTTGACCTCAGTGAGCACTAGAAGAAAGCCATGACTGATATGTTGAAATACTGGAGTAAGGCTAACTGGGTTGTTTCTCCGCCTGCCTACTGGAAACATTTTTTAAATGGAACCAAAATTGTCATCCTTACAAATCAGAAAAGACTGATAGTTGACGGGTTTGTAAGTGATAGGATGGAGAAGTGGCTTCTCTGGGCGAAGAGCAGAACCAAACCACTGTTTTACTAGGATCACAATTTTGGGGGAAGGATAAAGTGACATTATTTCATTTTACAAGGTGCCCAGATCCCAGTTATCCTCACGTCTCTTTAATTTCAGATAAATTATTGAGCAAAATTTTTAAAGTGATTTAATTACTAAAAACTATTCATTTTATTTTGGCCATAAGTGTATGACTGTCATAAAAAATTTTAGGGTTATTTCCACTGTTTCAAGCTGTATATTTCTTGTTTAATTTAATTCTGCTTACTCCATCATGAAAAAATATCAATAAATTTCTCAATTTTAATGTAAAGAATTTGTATTTTTCTGTGTACAACAGTTTGAGAAACAAAAGGTGTCTTTTGAAAGAAAGAATATCGATGGTGATGGTAAGTTATTCTCAGACTGTTGGATATATGGACAGTTTTGTTTCTCTTCTAAGTCTGATTCCAAGTTTAGTGTAAGTTCTCCCATAAATGTATACAAATCTAAACGGAACATTCTCTTTGAAAAATCTACCCAGTATGTTCAGCAAGGAATTATTTCTCCAACAAGGCTGTGGTTTTGGTTATGGTTTCTGATTTACCAGATTATTGAAGTGTGCATGTACACAACCTGCGTATCACAAAGATACCACGTCCCAAAGACTGAATAAATTCGACTCCCATGAGCATTGGAAAACTGAAAATGGATTAGGACTTAATTTGAAATCGCAATGCATTATCATAGTGGAGAATTTTAAGCATCATCTGTATGCATTCTAGACATACATGCACAAGTAGGTAAATGGTCTCTGTCAACCACCTGTCCGGGCTTAGAGTTTGTGGGGGGGGAGGGGCTATCTGTTAAATCCCTCTTGATTTTAATTTTCCATCTGACTATCTGACACACGTGTATTTAATTGTATCATTTTTAAATCTGCATATCACTGAACACCAGGTTATGTGATTCCTTAATATGTTTGCAGATTTAGTTTTCAGCACCTCTGGAAAAGGTCTCCAATAAACAAAGTCTTGCTGCGGGGACTGAAATTTTAGGAGCTGTATTGTTAAGAGCAAATCCATTCCGTGTTAATATTGGTCAAGAGTTAAGGTTTTATTCCCCATTACAGCAACATGGAAACCAAGCATTCTTGCTTTTTAATATTTTACCTTCAAAAATATAACCCTCTTTCAGAACATTTTAAGTTAATAAATACATGGTGATGCTACTCTGCTAACCTAATAATAACCTAATAAGTTGCATCTCCAGTCTAGTAGTCTTTTTTCCATATTAGGATATATTTTCAAACGGTAGGGATTAATGATATAAAAACGGTATATAGTTAGTGGATTTAGTTTTTCACATAAGTTATAGTTCTTTTTTTTATTATTATTTTAATGTTTATTTATTTATTTTGAGAGAGAAAAGGCTGGGAAGGAACAGAGAGAGAGAGGGAGAGAGAGAATCCCAAGCAGCTCTGTGCTGTTAGTGCAGATCCCAAGGTGGGGCTTGATCTCACAAATCGTGACATGTGACTGGAGCCTAAATCAAGAGTTGGACATTTAACTGACTGAGCCACCCAGGCGCCTCAGGTTATAGTTCTAACACCAGAAGAAATAAAAATGAAATAAGTGAACGTAAAGCATATGGGAAAAAAGATATTTTTGAGTAAATCAAAAAGGAATTAGTGGTTAGGGAAGAGATGTGAAAAATAATCCCATAACATCTTCTGGAGTTCCAGGCTCAATTATTTTGGAAACTGCCAAATACTGTATTAGTGGCTTATAGACCTCCTTACACTTTGTCAAGCAGGGTGCCTCTTCTTAGATACAAAAGATCTTTTCCTCAAAATTCTTCTTTAAAATATATTTGTCAATAAATTAACCAGAAAGAAATTATAATAATCTTGGATTTTTCTTGTTTTCCTGTTTTTGTTTGTTTGTTTTTGAGAGAGAGGTTTCTGAGTGACTAGGTTCACTTTCGTGTTCTATGCTAAAAATAAGTAAGTTGTTTGGAATTAAAGGCACTGTCAGTAGGAATAAACAATCTCCACTGAAATATCAAAAATCTATTCTCCTGGGGCGCCTGCGTGGCTCAGTGGGTTAAGTGTCCGACTTGGTCTCAGATCATGATCTCACAGTTCGTGAGTTCGAGCCCCTTATCAGGCTCTCTGCTGACAGCTCAGAGCCTGGAGCCTGCTTCAGATTTGGATTCTGTATCTCCCTCTTTCTCTGCCCCTCCCCTGCTGGCACTTTGTCTCTCTCTCTTTCTCTTTCTCTCTTTCTCTCTCACAAAAATGAATAAATGTTAAAAAAAAAAAAATCTGTTCTCCTTTCAGAATCACAGTCACAATCAGGACTAACCTTTTATTTCTGATTTCACTCCACTCAGAAGTGTCTATTACGCATTATGCTTTGTCTTTCAGGAGGTGTTGAGGGAAATTTACTCAAATGTTTAAAACTGAGAAGTGTTGAAAATATAAAGAAGTTGTAAAACTCTTGTTTTAGCTGGATCCACCACCCTACATCCCACTTTTAAGAAGACTAAAGTTGGGGCACCTGGCTGGCTCAGTTGGAAGAGCGTGCAAATCTTGATCTTGGGGTCGTGAGTTCAAGCCCTATGTTGGGAGTAGAGATTACTTCAAAAACAAAAAAACTGAAGAACCTGCAAAAGTCTTACACTGTTGTTTTTAGTTGGACTTCCTCCCCACTTGTCACCTAGAGAAGCACTCAAAATCCAACTTCCTAAGGAATACTGAAAATGGGATAGAAAACAAAGACACCGACCTGGAAATAAAAGTTGGTAATAGCATTTGGGTTACTTAGAGTATAAGTCAGCACCAGAAATGTAGTGTGATGTATAAAAGCATACCCCAGGGGCGCCTTGGTGTGGCTCAGTCAGTTGAGCGTCTGACTTTGGCTCAGGTCATGATCTCATGGTTTGGGAGTTCAGCCCTGCATCAGGCTCTGTGCTGACAGTGCAGAGCTGGGAGCCTGCTTCAAGTTCTGTGTCTCCCCCTCCCTCCCTGCCCCTCCCCTGTTCACGCTCTGTCCCTCTCTCCCTCTCAAAAAATAAACATTAAAAACAACCAAGCACAGCCTAGACGTTACATCAGGATGTTTAGGGACTAAGCAAGCTGTGACAAGTTTCTTTCCGCATAAACAGAAGGCGCAAGGACCAGTGGTTAGACTGGTGTCTTCAGGTGTGATGACGGGAACGTCAGTGCCAGTTGCTTGATAGACAGCTAGACATTGGTGTCTGCTGAGCTAATATGCAATAAGGGCAAAGGTCTAGAGAGAGATTCAACAAAGGGCTAAATTCTAAAATAGGACCCTGGGAAAAAATCTTGTTCTTTTACACATTTCTTGGCTTGTAAGGATCCGTCAAACTTTTTTTTCTGGGATCCATTCCTGCCCCAGTTTAAAACACATACCGTTTTTTCACTGGAAAAAAATTTCAGTTTGTACAAAATAAAACATTTTTTAATTCGTACAAGCAAACGTGACCTAGGCTATTGCTTTGGGAGGCAGCTTGTTAATCACCACCAAGTCCCACAGATTGCCACTGAGATTCCAATGGATGCTGAGCTTAGTGGATACCGGTTACTTTGTTCCTCTGTGAATGTAACTTCTTATGAAGGGGGAGGGGCGGGAGGGTGTGGGGAGTCTGTGCTTAAAAATTACCAAGTGTTACAATAGGTTAGAGTTTCTGAAGCTTAAAACTCTTTCTTTAGAAAGAACATCTATTAATACAGTTTCTAGTTATGAGGGCTAAGGTCTAAAGGACAAACCAAAGGAATGACAGGGGAAGGGGATTTAGGGCTAACAGGTGGTCCCCAGACATATTGGCTGGAATAGAGTTCACAGCCAAAGTGTCATATGTGGGTGTTACTGTGTTTTCCTCATCCATGCCCTCTGTAGGGAGTCATTCTGGAACATGCATAGTTCTAGCTATGGCCATAAGAAGTGACTTCAACAAGACCTTCAGAAGAATAGCCCGGCTCTTTTACTGGTTCCCCAAATCACTGACCTGCTCAAAGAATCGGAAATCCAAGTTGGTCTGGAGCCAAGGTAGAGGTAAGTTTTCTCAAGCTAATGCTTCATTACAGATACTTTTTTTCTGTTAGTAGTGTGGGGCCTCCCTCAACTATGGAGAAAAAAACAAAGCTCTTAAGGCATTATTTAACATGGTCATTTGAGGAAAAACAGAGAAAATGAAAGCAATTTGAAGGTGAGAGATTAAAAACCATGAACATTTCTGTAATTCCAATTTTATGCTTCATAGGCATGTAAGTTCAGAAAAGTTTTCTAGAGAAAGGTGGAGAATGTTTAGCTTTAAAAAAAAAGTAACAAAAATAGCTTTTATTTTCAGTGAACCTTAATTTGCTTGTGGAATTAAAATCCTTCAGAACAAACAGAAAAGAATGATTAAATGACTGAGTTTCTCCTTTTCCTAGAAAACTAAAAAGGTCAATGGACTTTATATTTCTTTGGTTTGGGTCAGTTTCTGCAGCATATTTTAGTCAGGTTTTGGGTTTTGTTTTTGTTTTATAGTCAGGTATTGATGTGAGATTTTAAAACACTTTAAATACACT